GATTTATACAGGTTAAAGGGGGTTTATTTGTGTCACTTAACACTTTATTATTTGTCCCCAAAAAAGGATTCACTTGACACACTATTTATATAGTCCCATGATTGGGACAGGAGGAGTTTTTTTTTATATTTGGTTTAGAAGTCACATGTTACTTTGTATAAACAGGACCTCCTGTTTTTCACTATTGTTCACGGTTGGTCACGATTGGATACAGATTGTATCCGAGCACTGTGTGTGGATAATATTTATTATTTTTGTGTGTGTTATGTAGTTCACTTTAGAGCGCTGCACCATTTTATATATATATATATTTTAAAGTCATAACTATTGGGTCAGGTTGGGTGAAAGCAGCTTTATTTACAAGACCTCCTTCTCTCTAGTTCCCTGGTCTCCTCCTCCCATGCCCGCCTCCAGGACTTCTCCAGGGTGTCACCCATCCTCTGGAACTCCCTGCCCCAACCCATCAGATTATCACCTACTCTCCTCTCCTTTAGGCGCACCCTGAAAACCCATCTCTTCAGGGAAGCCTACCCCACCCCCCTGCTAACTTGCCGACCTCCTCCACTCTTCCTACCACTCCATCCCCCCACAGCTATCTCCTCCTGTGCCACCATCCCCTCCCTCCTAGATTGTAAGCTCTAAAGAGCAGGGCCCTCGAACCCCTCATGTTTTGCATTGTATTGGTATTGTTCTGTCACATGTTCTGTCCCCCTTTGTAATGTACAGCGCTGAGCGAACTATTGGCGCTTTATAAATACTGTATAATAATAATAATAATAATAAAAAAAAAAATTTAGGGCTTCCATATAAGCGCAAGAGGTATTCATTTATTGGCACACTTCATGACTGTTTCAGAGCCAGAGCTGTTTATTCAAGCAGAAATGCAGGTGAAATGTTTAGGGCTCATGTACACAAGCAGCTACTAAACTTGAGTTTAGGAGCTTTTGGCATTTTTTTTGCCAAAGCTCCTAAACTCAACTCCATAAAAGCCTATGTGCCCATGTACACATAGACTTTTTTTTTTTTTTTGAAAGAAATATTTATTGGATTTTATTATTGTGCACAATAAAGATCAAACAAAACGTCCTGAGAAAACATATGATTGCTAAGAGAAATTACAGTCATCGACAATTAGTAGGGTTTGAAAAGCATGTCAAGAAAGATTCATAGCGGGTGAAAGCTAGATAGCCCATGAGATGGTATAATTAGGATGTAAACAGTTTCAGACATGTTTCAAAAAATATTGATGAATTTTAGGTGATTGAGTACAGAAGACAAAAAGTGGCTAATATATAGCTACAAAATGGTATGTCACTTTATAAAAACTTTTTCTGCGCCTCCAAGGTGGACATAGGCTTTTAGCAGAGTTTAGCAGCTGCCATGGTTAGGTGAGGTTAAACCTCCCTCCCCTGAACGCAGAAGAATCGCGTTAAGAATAGGAGCGTTTTGACCGCCGACCACGGGAAAACACAAAACGCAGCAACCGCAGTACTGCAATTTTTCCTACAATTTGCATTTTCCCTCAGTCGGCGGTCAGGGTAGGCTCGTGTACATGGAGCCTTATTTTCCCACACTGCATTGCATAACTGTTTGTTTTGTCCAGGGGAGCAAGGAAAAGCTATACTTACCTGATCATTCGATACTCCAGAAAACAGTGCTCCCCCACATCAAGCTGTGGATTGTTCCTACTATTCTCACATCCAGAGTCAGTTGTGATGACATCAGGAACAATCCATTTACAAGACGCTAGCGTGCAGGGGTGGGTTGGAGTGGCAGGGGGACCGGTCTTGCGCTCACAGGATTGGCTGGTTAAATAAGTATATATTGAAAAAAAGGGGGGGATAGCCACCTACCATGACACGTAAATATGTGTCATATAAATATCTCCGTCTCACTAATAATTAGTGTGGATTTATAAACCCGATATGCTTAACATAAAACATAGCAGTATGACAAGTGCAATACTTCTCACACAGAGTGGTTATTAGAAAATCCAAGCGGAGTAATATAATAAGTATTTACAAAAACTTTTTGTAAATACTTATATTACTCCGCTTGGATTTTCTAATAACCACTCTGTGGGAGAAGTATTGCACTTGTCATACTGCTATGTTTTATGTTAAATAAGTATATCTCTGCTCTCCTCACCCCTAGACAAAAACAAGCGTTAAACCCATGCAATGTAGGCACAACCCCACTGCATGGGAAAATCAAAATTTTGCCCAGAGTTCTTTCAGTAAAGCTCATGCTAAATGGAGATCTCTAGTACTGTTTAGTGCAGTCTTTCTTAACCAGGGGTCCATGGAACCCTGGGGTTTCTCCAAAGGTTGCTAGGGGTCCAATGTGCAACTGCTGCCTCTCAAATGATGAACCACTGACACCAATGATGTTTTTAGCTATCTGTAATGGGGGATTCTTCCCAATGACCACAAATGTAAGGAGTATTCTTCCCAGTGACCCTCACACTAGTGTTCTGTGAGCTGTGGATGTAGTAATTATCAGCAGGGGTTCCTGAGACCAGAAAATCATTTTAAGGGTTCTCCCATGTTAAAAAGGTTGAGAAAGGTTGGTTTAGAGGAAGATACACCTCTGCAGAGAGATCACTGCCTCCACAAAGATAGCAAGAGTATTCCTCTGCTGTATGATGTCAGAAGAAATGCTTTTTTACTAAGGATGAGACTATTTTCTAGAAGAGCACTGTAATACCTAATAAAACCCTTTGTTTCGATGCACAGAGTATGTGTTTAGCTTTACAGCCCAGCACTAAGCACGCAACCCACCCCCAAGGAGACAAACATGGCACACAAGTGATCCTGTCAATGTGGACAATTCCCCCAGAGGTTGTTAAGGATTTTTTGAGCTTTAGCTGATTGACCAACCATTCAATGTTTGCATAGTTTCAGGGCCTATGCTTTTTGGCAATGCCAGTGGAAAGGACATCGGTCATCTTTCTTTCTTTTTTTGTAAAGATGCCCCACTGAAAAGGGGGCATTCTTTCTACTGGCCACCAGTGTAAGGGGGACATTCTTTCTACTGGCCACCAGTGTAAGGGAGAAATTCTTTTTACTGGCCACCAATGTAAAGGGGACATTCTTTCTACTGGCCACCAGTGTAAGGGGGACATTCTTTCTACTGGCTACCAGTGTAAGGGAGACATTCTTTTTACTGGCCACCAATGTAAGGGGGACATTCTTTCTACTGGCACACCAGTGTAAGGGGGACATTCTTTCTACTGGCTACCAGTGTAAGGGAGACATTCTATTTACTGGCCACCACCAATGTAAGGGGGGCATTATTTCTACTGGTCACCAGTGTAAGGGGGACATTCTTTTTTACTGGCTACCAGTGTAAGGGGGACATTCTTTCTACTGGCTACCAGTGTAAGGGGAGAAATTCTTTTTACTGGCCACCAATGTAAAGGGGACATTCTTTCTACTGGCCACCAGTGTAAGGGGGACATTCTTTCTACTGGCTACCAGTGTAAGGGAGACATTCTTTTTACTGGTCACCAATGTAAGGGGGACATTCTTTCTACTGGCACCAGTGTAAGGGGGACATTCTTTCTACTGGCTACCAGTGTAAGGGAGACATTCTATTTACTGGCCACCAATGTAAGGGGGGCATTCTTTCTACTGGTCACCAGTGTAAGGGGGACATTCTTTTTACTGGCCACCAATGTAAGGGGGACATTCTTTCTACTGGCCACCAATGTAAGGGGACATTATTTCTACTGGTCACTAATGTTAGGGGACTTCCTTCTACTGGCCACCAATGAAGGAGCATTTTTCCTTTGACACCCTAATGGTTGGTTTTATCACGGGTTCCTTGAGACCTAAAAATGATCTCAAGGGTTCCTCTGTCATAAAAACGTTGAGAAAGGATGGTCTAGAGGGATTTATCTAGCAAAGCAGCCAGGTGCAGAAAATAAATACATAAAAATTGAAGCCATTTAGCAGGTAGACCATCTCCACCCCCCTGCACATTTATTATGTCTGACTGCTAAAGTATACCTTTAATTTTGCCTTGTTGTTCACAGTTAACATCCATATTTATAAAGTACCCCGCTGTTTGAAGAAAAGACTACGTAAGCTGCTTTGTGAAAAGTATTAATAGCTGTAATGTAGGTCCTTTTCTGCTTTCATTTGTGAGATCAAATCCCTAGCAGGTAACATATGTTTACTTTCAACACACCTCATCTGCTGTAAAGCTGAATTTTAGATTATTTGGTATGCTGGAGATCGGAGCCAAAAAAAAAGCTTTAGGGAAAATAAAGACATTAATTATCTGACAGGTACTATGAAAACAATATTGGAGGTGCAAAGGAAAAAAGAAATGTTATGAATATGATATAGTACTGTTCACTAGGGTTCTCTGGGAGGTCTATTTATAAAGGCTACATGACTCTGGGCACAGTTGCTTCACTAAATCTTCTGGCATGTGCCCCACTTTAAGGTGGTTAAGTCATGGATTTACGGTCCCCCTTAAAGTGTTACTAAACCCACAACAGTACAATCAGTCTGTATATGCAGCAAAGCATGCTTGTTATACTCACTGTGGAACCTTGGGGGTTAATTCTCCAAAATTATGTAAAAGGATGATTGATCTTCTCTTCTCTGATCCTCTCATTCTTCCATTGTCCCCTAAATATTTCCTGATAGAACAGTGGTTTGGAGTCACTCTGCACATGCTCAGTTTGGTGTGTATTGCTGGAGAGGGTTTTTTCTTTCTTGAGAGAGTGCATGTGATTAGCACAGGGCAAATCAGTGCTGTCCAGGCAGAGGTCAGGGGTTCTGCACCCTCCTAGAGGAGAATAAAAACTCCTCCTACAAGCTTTAACCAGTGCTCTGCTGGACACTGATAGAAGTCACAAGACTGCTCCAACTGCTGATGAGAAAAGGTATTAAGCAGTTTATATTTACTAAAATATTTGCATGTACATGTTCTGTGCACTGTGGGAGACCAGATATAGTGAATGCAGGGTCCGGGGAGACCAGATATAGTGAATGCAGGGTCCGGGGAGACTAGATATAGTGAATACAGGGTTCGGGGAGACCAGATATAGTGAATGCATTGTCCTGGGAGACCAGATATAGTGAATGCAGGGTCCGGGGAGAGCAGATATAGTGAATGCAGGGAATCCCAGGGAGACCAGATATAGTGAATGCAGGGTCCAGGGTCCTGGGAGACCAGATATAGTGAATGCAGGGTCCGGGTATAGTGAATGCTGGGTCAGTAGACCAGATATAGTGAATGCAGGGTCCCAGGGAGTCCAGACCAGATAGTGAATGCAGGGTTCGGGTCCGGGGAGACCAGATATAGTGAATGCATGGTCCCGGGTTTAGTAACACTCTAAGCTGTAAAGGCAGCTGGACAGAGTTGTATGCATGCTACGGTCACGATGCTTTGATTTGTGCCTACAGCAAAAATTATATCTTCTAGCCAGGGGTGGACTGACAACTCATAGGGCCCCGGGCAATAAGGGATCATGGGGCCCCTGTGTCCTTGCCCACACTTAAACCACACCCAAAAAAGCCTATGAAAGGTACTAGGGGCATCTCATGGGGCCCCCTACTGTCCCCGGGCCATCGGGCAGTGCCCGAGTGCTTGAATGGTCAGTCCGCCGCTGCTTCTGGCTGGTTCAGGGGGCAGTACTATTGCTGACCTTGACCCATTCAAGTGAATAGGGCTGTGCCACAACCGCCTTGCAACCGGTTGCAATGCATGCTGTTATGGTGCAGTGGTGCGGGCTTTACAAAGTAAAAACAGGTGATAAGGGGGTGCAATATTTAAAAAATGATATCTATAGTATCTGTATAGCTAGCAGGCCAATTTTGCTGAGGACCAGTTTCAGAAATTACAGTGGAACATTCCACTCCCTTTTACACAAAGGCTAAAAATATTTATTCTATTTTATACTTTTTTGTTGTTTTTATTTTATTTTTATTTTTTTTGTTACAAGGCAGCACTTCCAGATTTCCAGCTTAGGCCAGGCCACATTGCCTCCTAGGTTTGCTACATCACAGCTATCCCAGGGGACAGCTGGAAGAGATTGGCAGCACATCTGCACAATTTTTTTAAATGGCTGCACAAAATAGGAACGGGGGGGAGTTTTAAACCACTTTCAATGGACTGAGCGGCACTGCTGATTGCATAACCCAGTTGTTCAACTCATGGGGCCCCCGGGCAATAGGGGATCATGGGACCCCTGTGTCCTTGCCCAAACTCAAAAAAGCCTATGAAAAAGGTACCAGGGGCATCTCATAGGGCCCCCTACAGACCCTGGGCCCTTGGGCAATGCCCCGAGTTTCCAAATGGTCAGTCCGTCCCTGTCACCATCACACCATTTACAGTGTCTCTGATCACCGCCACATCAGTTACAGTGTCCCTGATCACCGCCACACCATTTACAGTGTCTCTGATCACCATCACACCATTTACAGTGTCCCTGATCACCGCCACATCAGTTACAGTGTCCCTGATCACCACCACATCAGTTACAGTGTCCCTGATCACCATCACACCATTTACAATGTCCCTGATCCCATCACACATAAGTTTACAGTGTCCCTGATCACCATCACACCATTTACAGGGTCCCTGATCACCGCCACATCAGATTACAGTGTCCCTGATCACTGCCACATCAGTGTCCCTGTCCCACCGCCACCACACCATTTACAGTGTCCCTGATCACCGCCACATCGGTTACAGTGTCCCTGATCGCCACCACACCATTTACAGTGTCCCTGATCGCCACCACACCATTTACAGTGTCCCTGATCACCGCCACATCAGTGCCACATCAGTTATAGTGTCCCTGATCACCGCCACATCAGTTACAGTGTCCCTGATCACCGCCACCACCATTTACAGTGTCCCTGATCACATTTACAGGGTCCCTGATCACCGCCACATCAATTACAGTGTCCCTGATCACCGCCACATCAGTTACAGTGTCCCTGATCACCACCACACCATTTACAGTGTCCCTGATCACCGCCACATCAGTTACAGTGTCCCTGATCACCGCCACACATTTACAGTGTCCCTGATCACCGCCACACCATTTACAGTGTCCCTGATCACCGCCACACAAGTTACAGTGTCCCTGATCACCGCCACACCAGTTACAGTGTCCCTGATCACCGCCACATCAGTTACAGTGTCCCTGATCGCCGCCACACCATTTACAGTGTCCCTGATCACTGCCACATCAGTTACAGTGTCCCTGATCACCGCCACATCAGTTACAGTGTCCCTGATCACCGCCACATCAGTTACAGTGTCCCTGATCACCGCCACATCAGTTACAGTGTCCCTGATCACCATCATACCATTTACAGTGTCCCTGATCACCGCCACATCAGTTACAGTGTCCCTGATCACCGCCACACCAGTTACAGTGTCCCCATCCCTGATCACCGCCACACCATTTACAGTGTCCCTGATCACCGCCACACCAGTTACAGTGTCCCTGATCACCACCACACCATTACAGTGTCCCTGATCACCGCCACACCATTTACAGTGTCCCTGATCACCATTTACAGGGTCCCTGATCACCGCCACATCAATTACAGTGTCCCTGATCACCGCCACACATCAGTTACAGTGTCCCTGATCGCCACCACACCATTTACAGTGTCCCTGATCACCGCCACATCAGTTACAGTGTCCCTGATCACCGCCACATCAGTTACAGTGTCCCTGATCGCCACCACACCATTTACAATGTCCCTGATCACCGCCACACCATTTACAGTGTCCCTGATCACCGCCACATCAGTTACAGTGTCCCTGATCACCGCCACATCAGTTACAGTGTCCCTGATCACCGCCACATCAGTTACAGTGTCCCTGATCACCGCCACATCAGTTACAGTGTCCCTGATCACCGCCACACCATTTACAGTGTCCCTGATCACCGCCACACCATTTACAGTGTCCCTGATCACCATTTACAGGGTCCCTGATCACCGCCACATCAATTACAGTGTCCCTGATCACCGCCACATCAGTTACAGTGTCCCTGATCGCCACCACACCCATTTACAGTGTCCCTGATCACCGCCACATCAGTTACAGTGTCCCTGATCACCACCACACCCATTTACAGTGTCCCTGATCACCGCCACACCATTTACAGTGTCCCTGATCACCGCCACACCAGTTACAGTGTCCCTGATCACCACCACACCATTTACAGTGTCCCTGATCACCGCCACACCCATTTACAGTGTCCCTGATCACCGCCACACCAGTTACAGTGTCCCTGATCACCACCACACACCATTTACAGTGTCCCTGTTATCACCGCCACATCAGTTACAGTGTCCCTGATCACCGCCACATCAGTTACAGTGTCCCTGATCACCATCATACCATTTACAGTGTCCCTGATTACACGCCACATCAGATACAGTGTCCCTGATCACCGCCACACGCCTACAGTTTACAGTGTCCCTGATCACCGCCACACCATTTACAGTGTCCCTGATCACCGCCACACCAGTTACAGTGTCCCTGATCACCACCACACCATTTACAGTGTCCCTGATCACCGCCACACCATTTACAGTGTCCCTAATCACCGCCACACCAGTTACAGTGTCCCTGATCACCACCACACCAGTTACAGTGTCCCTGATCACCGCCACACCATTTACAGTGTCCCTAATCACCGCCACACCATTTACAGTGTCCCTAATCACCGCCACACCAGTTACAGTGTCCCTGATCACCGCCACATCAGTTACAGTGTCCCTGATCACCGCCACATCAGTTACAGTGTCCCTGATCACCACCACACACCATTTACAGTGTCCCTGATCACCGCCACATCAGTTACAGTGTCCCTGATCGCCACCACACCATTTACAATGTCCCTGATCACCGCCACATCAGTTACAGTGTCCCTGATCACCGCCACACCATTTACAGTGTCCCTGATCACCGCCACACCATTTACAGTGTCCCTGATCACCGCCACACCATTTACAGTGTCCCTGATCACCGCCACACACATTTACAGTGTCCCTGATCACCGCCACATCATTTACAGTGCCCTGATCACCGCCACATCAGTTACAGTGTCCCTGATCGCCACCACATCATTTACAGTGTCCCTGATCACCGCCACATCAGTTACAGTGTCCCTGATCACCGCCACATCAGTTACAGTGTCCCTGATCACCGCCACATCAGTTACAGTGTCCCTGATCACCGCCACATCAGTTACAGTGTCCCTGATCACCATCATACCATTTACAGTGTCCCTGATCACCGCCACATCAGTTACAGTGTCCCTGATCACCACCACACCAGTTACAGTGTCCCTGATCACCACCACACCAGTTACAGTGTCCCTGATCACCACCACCACACCATTTACAGTGTCCCTGATCACCGCCACACCATTTACAGTGTCCCTGATCACCGCCACACCATTTACAGTGTCCCTGATCACCGCCACATCAGTTACAGTGTCCCTGATCACCGCCACATCAGTTACAGTGTCCCTGATCGCCACCACACCATTTACAGTGTCCCTGATCACCGCCACATCAGTTTACAGTGTCCCTGATCACCGCCACATCAGTTACAGTGTCCCTGATCGCCACCACACCATTTACAATGATCACCTGTTATCACCGCCACACAATTTACAGTGTCCCTGATCACCGCCACATCAGTTACAGTGTCCCTGATCACCGCCACATCAGTTACAGTGTCCCTGATCACCGCCACATCAGTTACAGTGTCCCTGATCACCGCCACATCAGTTACAGTGTCCCTGATCACCGCCACATCAGTTACAGTGTCCCTGATCACCATCATACCATTTACAGTGTCCCTGATCACCGCCACATCAGTTACAGTGTCCCTGATCACCGCCACACCAGTTACAGTGTCCCTGATCACCACCACACCAGCTACAGTGTCCCTGATCACCATCACACCATTTACAATGTCCCTGATCACCCACACCATTTACAATGTCCCTGATCACCATCACACCATTTACAGGGTCCCTGATCACCGCCACATCAGTTACAGTGTCCCTGATCACCACCACACCATTTACAATGTCCCTGATCACCATCACACCATTTACAGTGTCCCTGATCACCATCACACCATTTACAATGTCCCTGATCACCACATCACACCATTTTACAGTGTCCCTAATCACCGCCACAGCAGTTACAGTGTCCCTGATCACTGCCATAGCAGTTACAGTGTTCCTAATACTGCCACTAATAATACTGTATCCACCCAGCAGAGTAAGAAGGGATTAAAGAGTATTCATGATAACACTGGAGTGAATTTTTCTTTTTTGCTCCAATGAAGGGGCGGGGCAAGCAGGGGTGGACTTTTATCATTTGTATAGGTGACACTAGAAGGCTGGTCTGCAAGCAGTTTGTATCCATTACTAAATTTCCTGTTTTGTTTTTTTTTGGTATTTTAGTAGCTAAGATGGCAAAAATATATCACTCTGGGAA